GAATACTATGACCCAAGTTATTTCCAATCTTTAGGTTTAGTACATGAAACTACCGCGACATATACACCACAACAAAATGATGTAGCGGAAAGGAAGAATAGGACACTAGAAGAAATGATAAATTCTATGTTGTCATATTCAGGTTTAAGTGATGGATTTTGGGGTGAAGCCGTTTTAACGGCTTGTTACGTGTTAAATCGTGTTCCCATGGAAGGGAAAGATGTAACCCCATATGAGCTATGGTATAAAAGGAAACCAAACTTGAGTCATCTCAAAGTTTGGGGTTGTAGGGCAATTGTAAGAGTGCCGGAACCTAAACGTAAAAAGTTAGGTGAAAGAGGAGTTGAATGCATTTTTATAGGATATGCGGATCATAGCAAATCTTATAGGTTCTATGTAATAGAACAAAATGAATTTTGGTCGGTTCACACCACCATTGAGTCAAGGGATGCATTGTTTGATGAAAATCGATTTTCTTCAATTCCTAGGCCAAAGGACATAACTCCAAGTGCCAATGCTCAAAGTATTGATCAAATTGTCATTGATCAAGAGGTGGATGACCAAACTCATTTAGAGGAGGCATCTACATCATCATCACAACCTAGGAGAAGTAAGAGGGCAAGGAAAGAAAAATCTTTTGGCCCGGACTTTCATGTGTACTTAGTTGAAGGATCAAGGGAATCTGTTTCAACACAATTTCCATACATTTTTAATGTGGAAGATGATCCTTTGACCTATGAAGAGGCTATGAGGTCTCGTGATGCTCCATTTTGGAAGGAAGCTATTAATGATGAGATGGAATCCATCATGGGAAACAATACTTGGGTTTTAGCTACTTTACCACCAAAATGTAAACCAATTGGGTGTAAATGGATCTGGAAATTGAGGATTATATGGAACGGTTGAAAAGTTCAAAGCCCGGTTAGTGGCACAAGGTTTTACACAAAAACCTGGTATCGATTATTTCGATACATATGCACTTGTTGCTAGAATCTCAATTATAAGATTGTTGATAGCACTTGCGGCTATCCACAATCTTGTGATCCTTCAAATGGATATCAAGACAACATTCTTGAATGGAGATCTAGAGGAAGAAGTTTACATGCGATAACCGGAAGGGTTTGTTGTGGAAGGTCAGGAAGAAAAGGTTAGCAAGTTGATTAAATCTTTGTATGGGCTAAAGCAAGCACCTAAGCAATGGCATCAAAAATTTGATGAGGTTGTGTTGTCTAATGGTTTTAAGTTGAACAATTCAGACAAGTGTATTTATAGCAAATTTGATGACAATGGTCAAGGTGTCATAATTTGTCTATATGTAGATGACATGTTGATTTTTGGAACTGATTTGTCACAAGTTGAAAAGACAAAGTCATTCCTTAGTTCAAAGTTTTCCATGAAAGACATGGGGGAAGCGGATGTCATCTTGGGCATAAGGATAAAGAGGGAAAAAGAAAAGTTGATCTTGTCACAATCTCATTACATTGAGAAAGTGCTCAAGAAATTCAATGTGAGTGAAGACACTACTTCTCTTTATTCAACACCTATGGATCTTAGCATAAAGTTGATACCTAATGAAGGTTATGCGGTTTCACAACTTGAATATGCTAGAGTAATAGGTTGTTTGATGTATGCCATGACAAGTACTAGACCTGATATTGCTTATGCAGTTGGTCAATACACTAGCAAGCCTAGTATGCAACATTGGCAAGCGGTTCGACGCTTGTTGAAGTACTTGAAGAAAACCAAGGAATTTGGTTTGTCTTATAGTGGATATCCTTCGGTTGTAGAAGGGTATTCAGATGCAAGTTGGATCTCTAACAAAGATCATTCCTCCACAAGTGGATGGGTTTTCCGATATGGGGGAGGTGCCATTTCATGGGCTTCAAAGAAACAAACTTGCATTGCGGACTCCACAATGACATTGGAGTTCATTGCTTTGCATTCGGCTGGTAAAGAAGCCGAATGGTTGAAGGATCTCATGTTTGAGATTCCTTTGTTGCCAAAACCGATATCACCAATAGTGATACATTGTGATAACAATGCTACCTTGGCAAGGGCTTATAGCCAAGTTTATAATGGTAAGTCAAGGCACATTGGAGTACGGCATAGTTACATCCAAGGACTTATCAAGGATAGTGTGATCACTATTGATTATGTTCGAACGGATCTTAATCTCGCCGACTGTTTTACAAAGGCATTGGCTAGAGATGTTACCAGTAGGATGACAATCGGTTTAGGATTGGAACCCTAAATAATCACAATTAGGAGAATCTCCACTTAACGCCCAATAAGACGTTGGGTCTTAAGTTCAATGAGATTAATTCTCTTAATTGATGATTGGGAACTTGTATATTCATCCAAGGTAAAGTTCCGGTTTTCTGTGATGAAAAGAGGTTGTTTTTAAACTTAATAGAATTCCTGATAAAAGTGCTTTGTTACAGGAGCATGTTGGAACTCTACCTATATAAGTACGAGGTTTAGCCGCTTCAAGAAGCTATTAGGGGTGTAGCTTTGATGTACTTATGAATAGATATGGACACATGGCTTATAGTGTCAAGCTAATATGTATTTAAGTATTTAATCTTGTGTGTGTAATATCTTCAAGTTTCCAAATGTGTTGCTTTTGGTTCAAACGTTTTACGATACCAAATCGATACGGATTCTTGAATTGTTTATTGCACTAAGTGGGAGTTCAAGTCTATGTACACTTTCATTTATGCATAAGATTGTTTTGTGATGATGATGTTTTTGCAATGTGTCTAGTTTAATTCTCAAAATAGGGGAGGATTGTTGAGTGATTTTGAGAATTTAGACAAATCCATGTTCATTAATTATATTACTTAGGCAAAGGTGTTGTAATTTAATTAATAAAGAATATTAAAGCAATTAATCTTGATTAAAGGTTGATAAAGAAGAACTCAAACTCTGGTTTGCTGCCCTGCACATCGCTCGGTCAGCCGCCCGATCGTGGTGGTGCTCGCCCGATCGGGAGCGAGGGTAGTCTGGAAATTGTATTCTTCGCCGCCCGATCGGGCAGCCGCCGCCCTATCGGGCGCGAGAAGGGAACAAAACTGACGGAAGTCATCTCCTGGAGTTTGGGGCAGCCGCCCGATCGGGCGCGAGAAGACGCCTGGAGTTGACGTCGATTTCCGCCCGATCGGGCGGCAGCGGGCCCGATCGGGCGCGTGTCAGAGAGGAGAGTAAGAGTGACGGTTTTGTCAGTTTTCTTTGGAAAATTGTCAGTTACTTTCGTGGCTTTTGGCTGAGGTTTGCTTGAATATATATATGTTCTATGAACATATGTTGGAGAGAGTTAAGAAAATGTTTGGTGAATATTTTCTTAAAAACCTTTGCAATTTTATTTATCATCATCATAAATCCAAAAGCTTTTATACATTGAATTGTAATCATCCTACTTGTGATTACAATTGTTCTTCGTTGTATCTCCTAAGTAAATTTCCGTGAAAACCCGGTTGTAGTATAGGGTCGGAATTATACTTTTGGGAAAGTGAATCCGTTCACGTCTCGAAGATTTTCCGTTCTAATTTGTTTGCTATTTTTGTGACCCTTGTTCATACACAAATTCCCCAACAGTAAGAGATGGGAAAAAAATAATTTAACCTTGACTTTTTTATATGTTTGGTTTAACCATGGAAAAGAATCACTTAAATATAACTTCCTCTCTTTTTGTTTGAGGAGGATAAGGGTAATTGTTACCTAAAGTTTTAGAGATGTAACTATTAGGTGGAAAACTGGAAACCATTAGCCCTAGGTAATGGTAATTGTTACCTAAACCTTTTAACGAAACACTGGTTTAGTTAAATCTGTTTCCAACCCAAAAATTATACTTTTACCAAACATTCTCTAAGGGTGATTGAGTAGCTATAATTTGTTTTGATGAGATATTGGCTAGTGAAATATAATTGCTAGGATTTTGAGTTTTTTCTTTTTTAGATCCTCTAAAGATAGTTTGTTTTAGTAATAAAGAACAAAAAAGTATAATACCAGCAGAGGTCACCAACAAGTTTGGGTAACTTTGTTTAGTCATGGATGTCTCCTACCAGGCTACAACTGAAGTCGCATTGTATTTTTTTGTTGGTGACATACTAGGATACTCCTGGTTCAATGGTTGTTGGATGAAGATGAACTAGGGCCTTATAAGTGTGTCTGCAGAAGTGCAGATCACTTGTACCTGCTCATTTGAGGGTATAATGATTTCATTAATTTGATTTTCAGTCTCTGGATCTGGTTGACTGATCCTGGCTCCAACCATTCCATTAGAGATGTCCCTGGACAGTATCTTTTCTGAGTGTAGCAGTTGTTTTCCTCACACATCTTAGCTCGCTATTGCAAGGTTGTACTCCTATAGTCCTATATTACTTGGAAGTGTGCATCTAGATAAATGGTAGACCCTATCATGTTGCTTGGTTAAAAAAAACGAAGAGTTTGTCTAATTTATCATTCATTTGGTGCAGTAAACCGAGTATCCAAGTGGAATGTTATGGAATTGAAATATCTATGAGTCTATTCTCCTTAACTTATTTTTGTCGGATTAACTTATTTTTGTCGAATTAACTTATTTTTGCTTAACTAATAGAGTTGTGCTTATATTTTTCCTAACTTTTCTTTTTTTTTTAGCTACACATCTTGACTTTGAGCACTATTTACTTTAATGCTTTAATTTATACCTTTTTTAAAAAATATTCATATGGAGCCTTATTAGACTTTAATTTATTTATTTTTTATTTTTTTACTAAATCATAATTGAAGATATTATATTCTAATTGCATTGACAAACATGACTAAATAAATGTGTCAACTATAAAGACACGAATGAAGTATGTTATCTAGCTTAGCTCAGTTATGCAGGACTTACAATTGGTTTAGTATATCATCAATCATGCTATTCATGCTAGGATACACATATAGTGTTATCATATGTTGTATATAATCTATCTTGGAGTAAGGGTTTGTTTTTATTGTTGTTGAATAGTTCATCTATGAGACATGAGGTATAAAAAGTCTACAACGGTCTAGAAGGCATAGCTCAACATTTCTGTGTAATGTTTATTAAGGTTGTGTTGTTTTGATTCCATCCCACTGTTTGATTAATTGATGGCATCTTAAGATATTAAGGTCATAAAACCTTAACGTTTTTTAAAAGAATGACATTTTTTTTTCTTGGACATTTTCAAATGGTATGGTAGCAACTAATTCAGGACTGAGTATACGCTTCCATTGTTGGAGTTAGTGTTTTCTTGCACTGCAGATTGGTGACTAAGATAGAATGGTAATGAAACATTGTATTAAATTACTATGTTCAAATTATCCTCTTTTCTATGCAACAGATATTGATTAATTTTGATGTTCAGTAGTTTTTCCTCTCAAGTCTTAATACTGCAGTTTCTGAAAAAAAGATGATAAAATTATTTCATTTAAATTTACATACAGGAAGTTTCCTGGGGTGATGTATCACTAGCAGATGCAGAAAAAAGGCTTTTAGCCAATGCTCTCCTAGACTTCTCAAATGAGCGTTTTGTGCTCCTCTCTGAAAGTTGTATCCCAGTTTACGATTTTCAAACAGTTTACAAATATCTCACTAAATCTGCACACAGTTTTGTGGAGTCATATGATGATACAAGCCGTTTTGGTAGGGGCCGCTATGATCGACATATGAGACCCAACATCACAGTTGAACAATGGAGAAAAGGGGCTCAGTGGTTCGAGATTAGACGAGATTTGGGTATTGAAATAATATCAGATTACAAGTACTATGATCTGTTTAGGAAATACTGCCATCCACCTTGCTTTCCTGATGAACATTACGTTGCTACATACCTCAACATATTCCATGCTCCGCTTAACTCTAATCGTACCTTGACTTGGGTAGATTGGTCTTTGGGAGGACCACATCCCACAACCTTTGTAAGAGAGAATATTACAGAAGGTTTTATACGGAATATCAGAAATTATAAGAAAAAATGTTTGTATAATTCTAAAAGCACAACTGTCTGTTACCTTTTTGCTCGCAAGTTTGCTCCAAGTACACTGGAGCCCTTGCTCAATTTAAGTTCAAAGCTAATGGGATTTTGAAAATTTTTAGTTAAACTATAAATTAAGAGCTTCTTCTAGTCTTTCTTGTGCATTGATAGGGAGTATAACGCTTCACTGGTACGTAGTATTTACTACCTCCGTTTCTTATTTTTTGTAACTTTTGTCAAAAATGGACGTTGCACATTATTTGCATTCTTATTTTTCTCCTTTAGCTTACACCCACAAACAAATTTTATCTATGAGTCCGTGCACCTTTTAAAGTTGCAAAAAATGTGAAACAGGCGTAATATACTACGTATTTCTTATACTAATACAACATTTTTTACAAAAAATTATTGTGGCTTCTTTTGCTTTTATTGGAAAGACTATTAAAATCAAAATTTGTCTTGTTAAAATGCATCTTTCTTTCTCCAGTTGGAATTGCTATGCATTAGACTAGTATGTGAACCGTGCAGTGAACTACAAATCCCACAGATTATATGATAGTGTGTGTCTTGTGTGGCTGACTAAAATCGAAACTTTCGTGTGGCACAAATAACGGAGTCCAACACCACAAAACAGAATTTAAAAAAACTTGATGACAATCTATCTCATGCACTGTAAATACCTAAAATCCTTCCTCAAATCTGGGGTGATCACGGATATCCGATCAGAACTTGGATTTCGGATCGGATATCTGAATCCAAAAATTCCAAAATTCAATATCCGTATCCGATCCAAAACTTTTGGATATCCGAGATTCGATATCCGAAAGTTTTCGGATTGAATAATTCGAATATCGAATATCCGACCACTTTTAATGGCTTAATGCTAGTATTTTAATAGCAATTTTGATTTTTTTTAAAGGTAAAATATACAGTGAACAAGATTAATTGAGACCAAGCAAATACAGTAGGAATAATAATTAAAAAAAAATCAATGTCAGATTATCATCAAACCAGATTAAATCAAGCTCTTAAGTCAATTAGAACGACCAACTCTTTATCAAATTATTTACAAATTGAATCAAAAAACAACCCCAACTTTTAGTAAAATCAAAATGCAAATAAATTACAAACAACAATAATAAATTAACAATGCTGATTTGGGTTATTTAATACCCCAAAGTGAACCAATGAGAGAGCGACATGTGTTCCTTTGGGAGGCGTCCAAATGGACCCTCCAAATGCGTGACACTCAGATATGCCCCCTGGAAATGGTGGCCTTCAAGGCCTAAATCTCAAGGGGCCCCTAAAAAAAGGCGTGCCCTAATCCCTAGGTCATCAAACCCTAGGGAGGGCACACCTCCCAAGGTCCCAATAAATAGGGATATTCCCCCATTTATTTGGGTAAGTTCTAATCGTTACTAATCTGTCACTCTCAAGAAACAGACAACATCTGAGCTTGGAATCCAAGCAGATAACTTATTTTTCGCACGTTTTACTCTGAATCCGTACTAACTTAACCTTTGGAGGCGGACCACCAACCATTCGGTGCTCTGTTTGTTTTGCAGGTACAGGCGTCCTTGCTGAATTCAATCTTTGAGTTGTAACTCTCCCGAGGGACACAAAAAAATCCAAAACATTTGGCGTCGTGTGTGGGGAGAGTACCTCTAAGATGCTTTCACAAGAACAACCTATGCCACCTCCAGAGACCAACCGGCCTCTGGAAGAAATAGTGGTCCAGACGGACCATGACTCAGGTGACGATGGAGACTTCGAAACCTTTGTGGCCCCAGATGGGTCACTCATCTCTAAGCGCCTCCGTCCCAAAGACAGACGGGAGCACAACGCTAACCAGGCGGATCCTAGCAGGCCCCCTGGACAATCGAGTAAGCTCTCAGGGCAGCCGGCTAATCCCTCCCAGGCGCAGGATCAGCCCCAGTCAACCGCGATGAGCTCATGAAGTTCATGAGCAACCTCAAGGGTGAAATTAAGGGTCTAATCAACAAGCGGTCAGCTACTCCTAGAAAGGAACAGTCAGCCACCAAGCCAACTCAAGCTGGAAAGTAAAAGTCGGTCCAGGACCGACAGCCGACTCCTCATCCTGCTCCAAAGGAAAAGGCTCGACCCCAGTTCGACCTTTCAAGGCTCCGTTTCCCAGAAACGGTGATGTAGGGAATATTTCAAGCATTACCCCTAGCTTGAACCCCACTGTGATCATACACTAAAGTACGGTGGCGTCCAAAGGGAAAGAAGATAGAGCAAAAGAGTCGCCAACAAGTTTTAGGAACTTGTAAACCGTCCACGAGGTGAAGGTTATACCCCTTAACGATCCAGGAGATCGTCAACTCCAATAAGTCTGGAACCATGACTGGTAGTTTAGGGATGAAGGTACAAATCCAACCTAAAAGAGATTGAACCTTCCCTAATAATAGGCCACTACTTTATTCTGATCGTATTCATGTGCGCTTTCTGACTAACATGAAATCAATAGGTTTAACCCTAAACCTCTATTATTGGCAATCACTTGAATTATAATCATATTAACCCTAAACAAGATTATTAATTATCTTATTGAGCGTGATTACAAGTACTAATTCCCTTTAAACATGCATAGAAGGTGTGATCAAGCAATAACAATAAATATATCATCAAGCAACATAATAAATAATCAACAATCATAACAATAATAATAATTATAACAATTATAATCATAAATCATGTTAAAGCATAATAATAGCAAGATCCTAGGCATGATACTAACATGATTAATAACAAAATCTAATTGCATTAGGAATGATAAATCCATATTAGGCCCTCCCCTAGATCATTGGGCCGCATATAAGGATCAAACCGGGCCCAGTTTAGTAATTTGGCCATAACTTCCTCAATATTCATCGGAATTGGGCTTATAATATATGGTTGGAAAGCTCTTTTCAAGCCCTATATATCCAACTACACTACTATTGGACCCATATCATGGAACAACCAAACTGGATTGGGTGTTTTCTTAAAATAGGTTTTCACAAACAAAGAGAAGAGAAAAGAAATTAAAACTATCCGCAACACTAGACTTTCCACACTTTCGCTTCATTCGATTACGATTCAATGTGAAAGGTACTCATCACCGGGTTTGGTTTTGGGGAGACACAAATGGGTGTCTACAGGTGACAAAAAAGCCATCCGGCATGTACAGTCGGATGGTAGCAAAAAATCCTTTCCTGATGCTCGTCAGTACATGGACCAGCTAAGGACCCAGCAGCTGTCAGAGTCGGCTTCTACGTCGACTTATCATGATAGCTTTCAGAATAACTCTGTGAAGAATTCTCCTTCAGTACCGAAGACTCTATCAAGCATCCCCCTCGTACAGCCTGGGCCCATGTAATCAACTCGGCGCAGTATATGACACAATCATTATACCGACCGCCTGCTTTGCCCTACATCCAGCCTGCCTTCTTCGGAGGATAGGCGGCATACAACTACAAGGCTTTGAACTGGAAGCTTTGGCTAAAAACCTTGGGGAACAACCCTCTGCAATCTCCAGGGAAATAGCCGAGGCCGAACAGCCGGTCAAGGTTAAAAATATAATGGTTGGTACCTATGATGGTACCTCCAACCAAGAAGACCACCTCTTGGCATTCACCCACCTCATGTACCTACAAGGGTTGGATAATGTCGCCTGGTGTCGATGCTTTCCAGCCACCGTAAAGGGCATAGCCCAGCAGTGGTTCGGCAATTTGCCGGCTGGTTGTATTAACAGCTTTAAGACGGTAATCCTACATTCTTGTTTGCTTCTAACTTCTCTATAAACATCCCTGCAAAGAAAATGAGCCTTGATCTAGGGCATGTGAAGCAGGGAGATAGAGAGGGGCTGCGATCATACGTGAGGCAGTTCAATCTGGTGAGAATCCAGATCCAAGGACTGTCTGACGAAGTGGCTTATACAGACTTTTTCAAAGGTCTGAAGGATGGGTCGACTTTCAAGTTCGAACTCATCCGCAAGAAAATCTTTACCCTCCAAGGAACCCTGATGGAGGCAGACGACCAGATCTGCCCCTCCAATAAGCAGTCAGACTCCAAAAAGTCTGACCGACAGAAGGAGAGTCGGCCTGCTCAGCCGTCTCTAAAACCAGAAGAGAGCAAAAAGAAAAAACAGATCTGGGCGATTAATAACTCTGATTAGTCGGTTTACAAGAGAAAGAAAGAGTGGAAGCCGTACGTTCCAAGGTACGAGTTTTGCAAGAACAACTACTCCATCCTCTTGGAGATAAAGTATCGACTGACTCTAGAGAAGCCGACTCCTATGAAGGGTTCCGCTGAAAATCGGAAGAAGAACAAGCACTGTCATTATCACGAGGATATCAGCCATGACACGAACGACTACTTCAGCCTCAAGTAAACGCTTGATCGTCTGGCCGACAAAGGAGCGCTAAAATCCTATGTGAAGTCCAAAGTGACTTTAAAATTGAATTTGGGGAAGTCAAGCAAAAAGACTCCCCAGCCTGCTATCTGCTCCAAAACAGATGAAGATCCGGTCTATACAATAGCAGGCAGATTCGCCGGAGGTGGCTCAACCATCCGGGGCAACAAGGACAATTTGAGAAAGATGGTCCAATACGTTGATGAGGGACAGGCGGCCAGCACATCCGCCTTCCCCGAAGTCATCATCACCGAAAAAGACAGAAGCAAATTCCGTTGGCCGCATGATTACCCTGTAGTCATAGAATGTAAAGTGGCCAACCAGTTGGTTGGTTGCATCTTGATTGACACAGGGAGCTCCTCAGACATCATTAGCCGCAAATGTCTATCTGATGGGTGTCATAAATTGCGCCCATCTGATGAGCATTTAGGTTGTTTTCTTCCTCTTTTCATGGCTTTCATGCTTAATAAATGCTTAGTTTTATGCTTTTGGTCTTAGACTTACCTTTCCTCTCTTATTTTGTAGCTTTTGTGCATTTCAATGGTTTTTCTAGTCTTTTCTCCTTTGTTTGCTCTATTTTTGTGGTTGTAGGTATTATACGAGGTTCGGGTCTTGATATTGGTGATTTGCTAAGGTGGAGGAAGCTTTTAGAGCAAGCTCATGGCAATTGGAAAGCTCAAGATTCAAGGAAGTGGATT